AATAAATGAAATAACATAGTAAACTCAAATCGATTTTAAATTACCACAAGAAACTGTATTACATCCAATATTTAATTACCTTACATTATAACCTAATGACAATTATATTTTATAGCATCTTCTTAAATTCTGAATTTTAGTATTGATTATACATTTAATGCTCAAAAATATCATCTTTAATACAAATATCACTTTAAAGTTTCTTTTGCGATTATGTCACTCTTAAAAAATTAATGAATACACAGGAGCAGAAAGAATTACCTCGTTTTTACACGTATATTATCCTCATGACGAAGCTCGCAACGACCGTGGCAAATATCGGCGTGATTTCTCCTATGGTGGCAGCGGCGGAAGCCGAGACGATTCTCGACTTCTTAGGTAGGTTGGTTTCGATATCGTTGGTCTCCACGTCTGGCGGTGGACAACCCATCCAGACTGGCGCCGATAATTTCTGTTTTTCATGTGCCACTCTCATTCTGAGGTCGTCAAACTCCCAGAAACCCTTGCCTTTAAAGAAATACGTCTTGCCTGTCGAAAAAGCGGAAGAATTACGATAGATAATCGAACTCACACATAGAGAATTATTTATAAAACATTAAAAAATCAGAAATCGAAATCAAAGTTGAATGCAATATTAAGAATAGCATATATGCTTAAAGTAATCTTTTACTTAAAAAATATATATATTATCTTTATGAAGAATGTATTGTATTTGGCGTTGAAAGTTATAAATTAAATTTACTTATATGTATAATAGAATTTTGAGTAAATGAAATAAGTATTTGATTGCTTTGATAATAAACTAATTTTGTTCGAGAATGTAATTTCCCGAAATTTACCATTTTTCCATTGGAAAACGGCATCGATGTCATTTCCAACACCGGCGAACATGCTCATGTCCCTGGGATAATCGAGTTCCACGTAATTAACAGATTCGTCAAACCTGCGTGGGGCAGAGGATTAAATTGGAGAATTAAAATTTATTTATAAATTAAAAAGGGAGCAAAAGCCCAACGTGAATCGGATTACGAATGCACGAATTTCATTATACGTCCAAAGATCGAGTGAGTTTCGGTCCAAATTAATATTTATTTTTCATTTTATTGTCAAACAAAGATCTCTATGTGCAGAAGTTAAAATAGTTGGGACTACCATGTGAATTCTAGGCAATGACAAGTGCGCGGAGAGAATTTTCTCTTGAAATTTATCCTGAAAATTATGTAATCGTGGGACGACGTGGCATTTCGAAGAATTCTATCAGTTTTTGAAACTTTTACCATAAATTACTAGTAAAATGTATGGTAAAATTTGAAAAAACTCCCATAAAATTCTTTAAAATGCGACGCTGTCCTACATGATTTTCAGGATAAATTTTAAGAGAAAATTCTCTCCGTGTGAGAGAATACAATTCGGACTTGGAAAATCACACCTCCAATACATGGGACCGCTGAAGAAGTAAGTCCTGCCGTTGTGGCCCCACACCATGGCACCATCGATCTTCTCCAAGGAAGCTGGCAATCCCAGATATGTGAGCGGTTTCGGATAACCCGGCTCCAGATTGTTCGCATCGAAGACGTAGTATTCGCGACCGATGAAAAAGACTATTTTCTTATCCGGTCGCTCGTACACGGCGTCCACGTGATCGATGTCCGACGGCAGATTGAACAACCTAGTGATCTCCGCCGGATATCCCTCATAGATGCCCTGATCGCCTATTCGCCACAGATACTGCAACGCGATACCAAAGAGCATTGTTCAATAGAGATTCTGATTTTGTTAGTGTTTAGTTTATTATGTTTCTCGGAAACTATGGCGTAAGATGCACGTATAATTTAAACTATGAAATGTGTAATGATAGACTGTACGTGTTAATAAAACGTATGTACATAATAATTATTTTGAGACATAATCGTATGATTTTAATAAAATACCGCTGATAAATATCTGTATAACAATATATCGTGAATTATTTCACCTTTGTGCTCGAGAGTCGAACGGATAATAATGTAAAATACTGGGCTTCATTCTTTTGCCCTTAGAAAATGAATGTAAATATCGAGATTCTTCTTCCGTGCGATAAGGCGAAATAATGGCACCTGAAAGGTGCTCGTTATCACATCGCTCTGAGCTACTGAGCAACAATTCCCTTGGTAATTCCGTCCTAATTTCCTATTACATAATTCCTTCTTCACGTTCTTCTTAAACGTCACTGCTACTTACTCGTCCTTTGAAGACGAAGACCTCTCTGCGGATGATGCTGATGGCGTCGTAACTCGTGTCGCACTTGTCGGGCACGTCGTCCCGCTGTGGCGGTGTCCACCGATGTCTAAATCTCGGCGTCGACCTCATTGTCGTCGTCGTCGTCGTCGTCGTCGTCGTCGTCGACCATGTCGTGTGATGCCGATGGGGTTTGTGCGGCCGATAGTCGGGTTTCTGGGGATAACGACCCGGTTGTCGTGGCCTGCCGTCGTCTGGATAGTGATTGGGCCTGGTGGGGGGTCTCGTTCTCCAAGGCCTGTACGTCGTCGTCGTCGTCGTCGTTGTCGTCGTCGGGGGTGGCGGTGGCGGTTGCTCCGGTGGCAGCGGGCCACCTGGTATATTGCCCCACAGTTTGCCTTCAGGAGCCCCTGAGAAATAATTATTTCGTCCATCCATTTCATCTCTATTTTCTTTTATCGATTCAATTTGTAAGTCAATATTAAAATATTCAGAAATGAAATTAATCCATTTAAAATACGAGCAGGAACTATATTTCGCTCAGTTGAGAAGAAACATTCGAGTAAAAGAGCAAAGAGAACTCCATGGTTCAAAAATATGTTTTATCTGATTTTTTTTTAACCGAACGAAATAACTCCGCTCTGCCCCAATTAGGAGTTAAAACGTGACTAACTTATTTGAGGGAAAATTTATTGGAGTCTCTCCTCTTCTCAACGGTAACGCATCGAGACACGTAAAGTGAAAATTAATTGAAGACACTCATAAAATACCAATCTAATTGAGTCATTAAAAATCTTAATTGCATTATTATATATTCTATATGAATCTAATATGCATTTAATGTACGACAAAAATTGATTACAAGCGTGAGATTATTATGCGGGGGAAGCTTTCGCTTGTCGAGGGGTATTTTCCTGGTGTGACCCGAAATGCGATACGGCCGGCGTGGCCTGTCAACGTGAACATATCGACGGTATTCGAAGCCGATTCACAGAAAGTGAGTACGCGAGTGCGCTAAGGAGGTAAAAAGAACTGATTCCCCTCTCGCTCTTTACATCCGCACGCGATGAATTCATTTCGTCGCCTTTCAGGACGGCCGATCCCGCCACGTGAAAAGAGATTCTGAGCTGGGCACAGTCGATATCGGACAATTTGTAACGAAACGTGCGTTCGTAAAAAGACGCAGATGTTGTGAAAAGGAGATAAACTCATCGCTCGGACATTGCACTCGCATAATCGCTTCGATTATAACGCGGCGGAATACTAATTAGCGCGTCGCTTAATATAACAAATACACGTAGAAACATTTAAAAAGTATGAAAGATACACGGAGAGAATTTTCGCTTAAAATTTATCCTAAATTTATCCTTTAATAAAATTTATCTTAAGGGGATGCTGGAGTGATTCTGCACTTTTGCACCTTTCTAACCTAGAAACTATCAGTTCGCGGAAACACTTGTGTAATATACAAATTAAATGACTTACGTGTACAGATCGAAAGCAGCTCGCTATTCCGGCTAAATGAAAGAACAGTATGGCATCACTGAAACTCAGTTTGTAAGTCTAATAAGAAATAATAGTGAGCAACACATACATACAGTACATGTGGTATGTGTGTTGCTCACTATTAATTTTTATTAGACTTACAAACTTAGTTTCAGTGATGTCATATTGTTCTTTAATTTAGTCGGAATAGCAAGCTGCTTTCGATCATCTGTACACGTGCCATTTAATTAGTGTATTACACAAATCTTTCCACGAAACAGACAGTTTTAAGTGCAAAAGGTGCGAAAGTGCAGAATCACTCCAGCATCCCCTTAAAATTACATGAATTTATGAAATTCATGTAATCGTGGGACGACGTGGCATTTCCAAGAATTTTATGAGTTTTTTGAAAGTTTACCATACTTTTTACTAGTAATTATACTTATTGTTAGTATACATTTTACTAGTAAAATGTAAAATGTATGGTCAAATTTCAAAAAACTCTCACGAAGTTCTTCAAAATGCCATGTTGTCCCATGATTTTCAGGATAAATTTTAAGAGAAAATTCTTTCCGTGCACTCCTCGTCATATCCTCTGCTTTACGCACGGTATCCGACAATGGCAAATGTTTAAAAAAAAGGAACAACGCGAGGTTTTGGTGTACATATACTTATCAATGTTGTCTCGATCAGCTCGAGGTTTATTGAAACAATAATTCCGCTTAAATTTCGCGCTAATTTCTCCCGTGTTGCGATTGTCCCGAGGTGTCGTCGGTAACCGCGATCTTAATTAGCCTGTCGAAACTATTTGCCGGCTTCGAATGGACGCATTTTTTTTCCCCTCCCGACAAACCGCGCGCTTCCGACGAGTATATCCGACCAGTCAAATAGAGCGCGTTTGCAATTCGTCGAAGGACTATTGACTCTCACTGATATACGAGCATTATTTTACTTTGCGTGATTGACAACGGGGAGGGGAGAGGAGAGGAGGGACGAGGGCTTTTATAAAATGCCTCTCCGCGCACAGAGGTTGATTTTGCGCCACGGAATTTTCGATCTACTCCCGGGAAATTGAATTTCCCCGCTATATTACATACACGGGCGTATTATACGGCAATCGTACATTTCTATTGCTTCCATCGGATCTCGGTTTTCCTTTTCGCTTCTTGTTAACGAACAAGATGTAACTGCGCCAATCCGTCTGATCGAGCTTAAACAGCTATTCGGGAAACGCCGTAATAATTACCGCATTCCGATCGACGTTCGATTTTACGTCGATTGACGTATATTCGATTTAACGACAAGCAAACGCGATGCGAAAATCAAACAACGTGATTGATTGGCGTTTAAAGTCCGCATAAATTCAGCCATTAAAACGAGTGTTATGCACTGGCGCAATGCACTTCAATTTCGCCAATTGGAAATGATTTGAAAAGAGAGAGAGAGAAGGAGAATCAATCGGCCTCCCGCGGATACCGGTCGTGTTTTTCGCGTTTGCACGTACAAATAGATAATAAAGTTAGATTAACAGCGGTGCGGCACGGTGACAAGCGCAGCGCCGTGCATACATCTTTGTATCTGGGTCATGTTTATTTAAAGAAAACAACAGGGACGAGAGAAATTGATGTGCGGACGCGTAAATCACGCTCGCGTCGCGAGCGAGAAAACGCATCGCCGGCGTAAAATGACTTGGGCGATGGTAAATTGCCATCGCGGAGCAATAAAATCTTGATGACAAACGCACGCGATTAAAATTCGGTTTTATCGCGGCCACGTGCACGCGCGCGCGCGCGCGCGCGCACGGTGCGTTTTATATTTCCGCGTTCCACTGCGACGCGCGTGTTGTATCAACGCGGGCAAATCGCTCGTTAATTCCGCGCGGCCGCGACGAGCGAACGGCGGATTGACAGGATTGGCGAAATTACGAGTGCGCTCGCCGGATCCTCCTCGCGTGTAACACGCCGTGCGGGCGCAATGAATTCACTCCATTTCCCCCGTGTACGGCATTACACGCGCCGTACCAGCGCGTACACATCGGCGTGTGCAAAATTTACGTTATCGATTGCTCGGGCGAAATGGCATTATGTAACCCGCGTCGTGGGACGTCGATTAGATACATAGATGAAATAATAAACGCGGGTCGCGCCGCGAGTTAAATGCAAGTGAAGCGGAAAACGGCAGTAGGATTAAAATCCACTTTGCGCGATTTACAATTCGCGCTTGAATTTTAAGTGCGACTGTAAATTTATATACCGTGTAAAATGTTTATGTGTGTAATAATTAAAATATTAAAGAGAGGGTGGAGGGAGAGAGAGGGGGGGGAGAGACAGGGAGAGACAGGAAGGGACAAGGAGAGACGGGGAGAGACGGGGAGAGACGAGGAGAGACAGGGAGAGACAGAGAACGACAGGGAGAGACGGGGAGAGACGGGGAGAGACGGGAAGAGACAGGGAGAGACAGGGAGAGACAGGGAGAGACAGGAGAGGGGGGGGGGAGAGAGAGAGAGAGAGAGAGAGAGAGAGAGAGAGAGAGAGAGAGAGAGAGAGAGAGCATATCGTATATATACAATTACGAAAATATGTACCGTATATTACATTATTTCATCGCGGATCTAAAGCAAGTTACATTTGTGTTTGTATATTTTTTGAAGTAATAATTTATAATTTTAAAACTATACAAAGAAATTAAAAAATTATATAAACAATAATGTGTAAAATTATTTGAAAATTATATAATATTATACATATAAACCTATTTATTTAAAGTAATACCTATAGGTACTCGTTTGCTTCCGATTATCCTATTATTAAAAATATTGTTAAAAATAATTAAGGATAATATCGTGTAATTATTGTATTGCGTGTATTCATCATGCATGCAATTTAGTAAATGCCGCAATTTACGCAACAAATTTGAGTATAATAAAATTATAATCAAAACTCCGGAACAATGTAATAATATTCTGAAACATATTTCGGAACGTTCCTCCGCAAATATTTAGGAACGCGTAAAGGACGTTGAAAAAAAAAATAGTGCGAAAACATGGGAAACGTTTTCGAACGCTCGAAGGTCTTTTTCTACGAGTTCTTTCGAGTATGTACGAAATTGGAAATGCGCGCACACACACGTGCGCGCGGGCGTACGTTTTATGTCCAAGAAAATGCGAGTTTAAAAGGGTCGAACCTCTCAGCAGTTTTTGCGAGCGATTGGCGTGCTCTGTGTGCCATTTGCATAGAAACTCGTGCGGGAATTGCGGGAAATCGGCCGGAGCTTATCGAACGGTACGGGGGATGCGATAACTCGCACGACGTAACGGCATGCTGCACGGTCCTGCAGTCGAATGATAATTAATATTCGCCAGTGACCTACCAATTAGCGTAATCTAGACTATGGAAGATAGAGAGGTAGAATGAGGAAGCCGCTTCCTGAACACCGAATCTAATCTCGACTCCCGACCGATGCAATTACAATGACGTGCTCGATAATTGCTGCCTTCGCACCCTCCAATATTCTAACTGTCTCTCCAATATTCTCTCTCTCCCTTCCCCCCCCCCCCTCTCTCTCTCTCTCTTTCTCTCTCACCTTTCGATCGAGTCCTCCACAAGGGGGAGACCACAAGCGATCTTTTCGTCACGCCGAGTAATTTCCGATTATAATAAAGAAGTTAACTACCGCCTCTCTCCATCGCCGTCAGCCTCAAACTTTATTACGGTAATTTGGGTAAAGCTAAAGCTATTTTCGTGAAACTTAGGGAAACGATATTTATAAACCGTAGATATTAGTTTTCTAAATTTTTAAGCATCCCCGGATACATTCTCATATTCGCAGTATCAAATTTAATTCCACTAATTAAATCGAAACTCTTGCTTAATAATCTTATTTTACTTTGAATAGAGAGGACGCGTATTTAAATACAGTCGACGTC